ATTTTACCAAAACAATCAAATAAAGGAATATTTTAAATAAGCCCCAATATTCAAGTATTATTAATATATTTTTTTATAATTCATATCTAAATTTTTAGAATATATTTTACCAAAACAATCAAATAAAGGAATATCACTTATTGAAGTTTGTAATACCTTTCAAAGCGAAAAAGGAGAAACAAAATTGATTTTACTTAATATAAAGCATTTTTTAATTGAAAAATTTGTTTTACACAAGTATCATTTTATTTCTCTTTTTCTCTATCCCAAATTCAAGCAATTACGTATGTAGTCAGGGACAGATCGCAAGATGACGGAAAACTATATAAAAGATTATATTAAATTACAAGAGGCTCAGGAAGTAAATGAAATACCATCGACCAGTCAAATTACGACTGTTGTTAAACAAACTGAATCGTTTTATGACAAATGGGGCGATGGTAATTCTGGTAATATGTCAATACCCGATGATGAATATTATAATTACATAAATAAAAAAATAGATGAAACATTTAAGGTGGATAATTTGTTAGAGTGGTGGGCGGCTCATCAAAGCGAATTTCCAATTTTAGCAAAATTGGCAATTCCTGCTTCAAGTGCAAGCTGTGAGCGGAATTTTTACACTACTGGGAGAATTCTTGAAGAAAGAAGAAGTAATCTTCAACCTGAAAAGGTAGATATGCTTCTCTTTCTTCATGATATTTTTAATATCTTTCTTGAGTATAGGGTTTCGTCAATCATGCTGGTTTTTTACTTTGCAAACTGTCAAATATTTATTGCATTTATTATATTTACCTTGAGTCATAAAAGTTTTTAATCCAACATTTTTCATTATTTTTTTTTACAATATTATATAATACACTTATCTTCTTTTGTTAAAAATTTATATTATAAAATAAATTATATTAATATTGTGCAATTAGATTATATTTTCAAAATACTATTTATTATACATGCATTTTTTTAAATAGCGATTTATTTTTATTTTATAAATTAAATAGTAAATTAAATACAATATATTATATTCTCAAAATATTTTCCATTTTTATAAATTAAATATTAGTTTTATTTTTTTTAAATGCAATATAAAATATAGTATATGCTCAAAATATTATTACCATTTTTATGAATATTAGTTTTATTTTTATAAATGCAATATAAAATATAGTATATGCTCAAAATATCCATTTTTATAAATAACAGTTTTATAATTTTTATAAATTCAATATAATATTCTCAAAATATTAGCTTTTTACATGTATTTTTTAAATAATAAGCGATAATACTCTCTGAAAAATATGATAAAATACCTCATAGGTGAATTTTTGTATATACCAGGTCGAATATAATTTTAAAAAATTCCGAGCTGGGCCTTAAATTTTTAAATCCGGGCCGGGCCGTAAAAATTTTTTAAAAAAAATATCCAGGCCTGGCCATGCAAATGGTACCTCTGCAGGTCTCTGATTTATTAATACCCTTTAATTGGATTCCCTTTGTTTTTTGGAAGGCCTAAAATTAATTTGCTTTAATTAATATGTTTTTTTTACTTCATTAATTTCTTCCGACGACAACATCTTCATTTGTTGGAACTTTGGTATTAAAAATGTTAAAATTTCATGGAGCATATGGATTTCAAATTTTTCAATTATAAAATTTTAAGCTAGTTTCTTTATTAAACCATTTCTTTTTCGCGATTGATTTTTCTCTCCATTTTATCCATATTTATTACATTATGCTCATGTAGAAGAAGATTATACCTATTTTTTTTTAATTAAAGAAAAAAATGTTCATAAATCCCAAACTATTAATTTTCATACCATATAACTTTCTATAGTGTAGGCCTACAGTCGTCCTCAAGAGCATTAGCTGCATCTTAATGGCTCCAAATATACTATTAGTGTTTTTAAAACTTCCTTTCCCATAGATCCCATTTTTTTTAGTCATATCACGAGATTCTAAAAACAAAATCTCATCAAACATATATAAATTCTTTGTAGTATCTTATGCTTTGTATCCCATCTTGTATCAATATGTTGTTGTATTGTCTTGCTCAGATATTTTACGTTGCCACTTTGTTTGAAATAAGTTGTCAACGATTTTGCAGTTGCCAAAATATTATTAATCTCGGGAACATTTTTCAATGGCTGGATTGCATTGCGAAGTATTGTGTTCGATATATATGCTGAACAGTTTAATCTATTAAATCTATGAATAAATAAACGGAAAATATAGTTCTCTAAATATGAATGTTTTTTATTTAGATGTACACAGAATCTCTCAAAAATTATTATAGTATCACTTAATCGATAAATTTTATTAAATTATTTAAAAATTTTTAAAAAATTTACCCTTCCAACTCTTTTTTAATATTTGCTCCTTGGTCTCAAAGATGAGCTTGGAAAATTATTCTCGGGGAACACCAAGTTTTAAAAATTTTTTTAATAATTAATATTTCTTTAAGAATATTCTCCTGTCTTTTTTTCCTCATGAAATTGTGAAATAAGAAGAAATTTTTTTTCTAGTTTCCAATTTTGTATAAAATGTATTGATATAGATATGTAATTGGTTTTAGTAAAATCCTCACACATATCAGTAGTACATAAGCAAATTTAAGTTTTTATCGTTTCTCCAATTTTAAGAAATAGTATTTCCTTAAGATTTTCAGTAAATTTGGCTACATGCCTGCTAACTGTTGTGGGGCATATTAATTTTTTCGGCATCCAATTTTCCTTATGTGACCCCTAAGTTGACAAACCTTTGCAAAAGATTTACAAATCCAGATCCTTGAAATGGCCTAAAAAAGATTAAAGAATAATTTAATAAAAATTAAATTACTTAATGTCTCTTAGCACAATATTCTGCAAAATTGGCAATTAGACCCGATTTTATCGTTTTGTTTAATTGAGAATTGCTTTTTTAATATTCGATTATTTTTTTAAATCTTCGTAATTTGCAGAGTGACATTGATACCGAAGGAAGTGCCACTTTTTTTATATTTATAGATGAATTCGCAATCGCAACGAATCCAATATATCTTTTTGTCATTTTCATTAAAAATAATTTTAAATTGCCTCCACATTGAAGATTAGAGTTTATTATTATCTGAATCATTTTCTTTTAACTTGTAAAAATCATTTTTTATTTTTTTTAGATATATATTCTTTAAAACAAAATGAAAATGAAAGGGGTAAATATAAAGATAAGCAATCATTACCAAAATAAAACAATATAATACAGAAATATTCATTGTTCCCCCAAAAAAATTTCAATATTCAAAAAAGTTTATTTATTTTAAGAAAAATGTTTTATGATACCAAAAAAAGGGCATCTTTATTTTTAACCCGCCCACCTGCCCGTTCTTAAAACTTTTTAGCCTGCCCGCCCTCTCGCCCACTTAGATGGGCGACCTTTCCGAACTACTCTACACCCGGGTTCGGAAAAAATGGATTGAAACCGGATTCGGTCCCACGGATGCTTATATATTGGTAATTCTAATCGTAGGGTGCCTGGTCAAATAGGCATATCTTAAAAATGCAAATCATTAATCTTTTCAACTCTTAAACCTTATTATAATTATGTTAAGAATTCTTCCAGTTATTTGAATCTCATCCAGTTGGCGAATTTATTAGAAACATAGATATTACAATTATTATTAAAATACGATATCAAATGATCACTTATTTTATGGAATTTGGTTTGATTAGGGCAAAACAAAAATAAATTTGGCTTTGAGCTAAATAATTTGGCTTTTTGGAGTGAAAATAATTACGGCGGCTCTTTAAAAAAATGAGCAGCCCATTTAGAATATAAATTTGGTAATATTTAAAAGCAATATTTTACAGTGGATTAATAATTTTTAAGTAATATTTATAATTTTTTAAAAATACAATTCACTTTTAAAATCAAATAAACAAAATTTGGCCGCTCCTAAAATAGTCTAATTTTTAGTTACTAATATTAATATGATTAATACCTCTAAAAATATATTTAGAGATGATTTATGATTATGAAACTTTTTGAAATGGAAAAAGAAGTTTTTAAATTTTATACAATGTCAATTTTATGAATAAATAAAATTAAGTGTCAGCCATTACCTGAACAACATTATAAATTTTATTTTATATTTATTAAGTGTTCATTGGTCACAGTGTCAATCTTAATGTCTAATACCTAATAAATTCATTTTAAAAGAAATAACCTAGCAAACTTTTTTTTTACTTATAGTTATGAAATGAGGTTTTTTTGCTATAATTTTTATTATATTTCCAAAGTTTTTTTTTACAAATTAATTATTATATATAAAACTATTTTAATAAAAATTTCAAGTTTCAAAGTCAAATAGTTTTAAATTGATAAGGCTGTCCGGAATTATACCCCATATCCGTCCGTTATCATATTTTATAAATAAATCTTATAAGAAAAAAATTCATAAGCTAATTTATTTATATGCTAATATTTACCTTGTGTAATGGGTTTTGCCATCTTTTAAAGAGTAGCTAAGTAATTTTTAATATCTTTTGGGTCAAAAAATGAAAAGCCTGGCCCGACTTTCAAAATTGTTTTTTTCAGGTTCCATTAAGTCTTCTAGAGGCCGATAAATAGAAAAATATAATTTTCACCTAAGTATTCTCGTTATTGCAACTGAGGTAATTCACTTGAGATAATGTATTCGCTGTAATACATTCACGATAATGCTTTCGCGGTAATACATTCGCGTTCTTATTTTCGCCCTAATGCATTTGCGATATTAATTTCGTTGGAAGAATTATAAATAATTATAGTAAATTGGCTATTAATAAAAAGATTCCTAATTTAAGTCCATACCTTAGTACACACAAATCATAATAGTTCTGACAGACTAAATCTATTATATATTATAACCTGAAAATCTACTTCTAATTGTTAATGTTCCAAAAATTTACTGATTATAATCTTTCGTGATAAAGCTATTTTTTTTTGTTTCCTTCCCTTATTTTTATTATGTTTTGTTTATATGATAGAAGAAACCCCATATCGAACGAATGTCCAGGTGCTACAAGCAGAAAGCACCCCTTCTTGCCGGGCCGAATCTCTTATCTCCAACTGTGAAACCGTCAGCTTTAACTGGACGGGCCTATGTTGGCCGTGCCACTGCAATCTTTGATTTTATTGCTCAGTCTGATAAAATGTTATCACTTACCAAGGGAGATAAACTTCTCATAATCGATAAGATCGGAACCGAAAAGGGCTGGTGGAAAGGTCAATTACTTAATCAAAGCCGAGTAATTTATTATATATATATTTAATTTAAGCTTCTTCATAGCTAGTGTTATTAAACGGCTCAACTTTTTAAAACGACTAATCCGATATTTTGACTAAAATCGGCGAAATAGAGCTGTTTAACAACACTAGAACATTGATATTTTCTAATATTATAATTGATGATATTTATTTAATCCTATTTTTAACTATTACTATTATAGTATATTTTTTTAAATTCTAGACAGGATACTTTCCCATTAAATACGTAACCGAAGAAGATTAAAATTTTACTCGCTCATTCTTTGAAAATTGGGAAAAATACTAACCCTTAAGCCATCTATAATTTTTATTTATATTTAAATATAACAATATTAAATTCCTAATTATTCATGTATTGTTAACTATGTTGATCCTTGTTAAATGTTTATTTTTTAATTGCAAATTTTTGAATAATATATATAACTGGTTTTTACTACCAATGAGAGTATCGTCAAAATTTAATATAAATAAGAATTAAATTCTTAATTCTACATTTTAGTTTTTTTTTAATGATCACTGAATTTATTTTTTTAAAAAAAATATATTTATATAATGTAAAAAAAATTCAATCAATATATAATTAAAACAATCTATAATATTGGGGAATTTATGGAAATCTATAATAGTTTTCCCTTTGTTGCAAATTGTCAACATCAATAAGTATCCAAAATTCTGATATATTATCCAAAGTTTGTCATTTTAAACATTCTGTTCCTAGATAGCGACGTATTTTAATTCGATACAAATATCCCCTTCAGGTTTAGCCCCCGATAAATTTTTATCTTAAAAATATGTAAAAAGAAGTTATTGGTGTAAAAAAAAATTTCAACAATTATTTTTTTTCACAATTTTTGACGTTTAAATAATTTTTTTAAAAATACAGTTATAACAATTATGCGGGGAAAAAAAATTATATGAATTTTGAAATATAAAAAAAAAGAATTAAAGAAATTTTTGGGGAGGAGTAAAAAAAAATTTATTCGTTAAAGGTAGAGGATTTCTTTCATTCCATGATAAGTTATGACTTGGTAAAGAAATAAAATTAAGCTATTAAAATACTCTAAACTTATATTAATATATTACTTTTGGATCGTAAGGAATTTATGGGTTCATGTGTTTCATGGGGCAAAAATAATAAAAATGCTAAATCATAGTCATATAAAAATTGTATATATATAGATTGTATGTATTTGTATCTTAAAAAATATGACTATTTTTTTTAAATTAAAATTTGTATAAAAATTTTGACTTTATTTATATTATTATCTTATTTTGAAACTTAATTAATAACAAATTAAATTTATTATTCATTTTTTGTTTATATTATATAATAAGGTATATTTTTAAAAAAAAATACAATTAACAACAAACAAACAATATAATATTTAGTAGTTAGTAGGCATTATCTATTATAAAAATTTTGTTCATCATATTAGGAAATATGATGCGTCAAAGGATCTTTTAATTGCCTCAAACAAGCACGTGATTTAAGTGTAGGATTGGTTAAGGGAGTTGATTAAGTCAGCATCTTCCATAATATTACTAATGCTCATGTGTGTGTATGTAAATAATGAGAAAATGAACCCGCAAAATTTTTTAAAGAATTTAAGAGGGAAAATGTAAATATAAAATGAAGAGTTAATACTGGACATTTTAAAACCATGTACAACCATGGAAACCTCTAATACAAATAAATAATATTTTTTTTAAAAAAAGCTGACTTTAGTCAAGAAAAATTTGAATTGAAACATTGAATATAATTATGTGTGTATATATATAAATATTTAATTTGTACATTATTTGCATTGTTATTGCAAAAATGCTTCTTTTTTAGATGGCCTTTTATAATAAATAATTCATTTTTTAAAAAAGAAGCCATTAATTTAATTTTTTTAAATATAAAATCAAAATATATAATTATTTTTTTAAAAAATAGGGTAAAAGAAAGAAAATTGCAATATTATAAATATCTATCACCATTTTCAATAAATAAAATTTTAATTTAAAAAAAAACAGTATGTTCAAGACAAAATTTAACAATTTTTTTTCACTTTCAATGAATTAAAATAATATTTGTACACTAAACCGAATTTAAATAAAAACATTTCATGTCGTTTGGATTAAATTTTTAAATGCACTGGAGTAAAGAGATGAATATAGGAATTAAACATTTTTGGAGTCATCGTCACCGTTACCTGTTATTTCTCGATTTAGCAAAAATGGTATATAAAATAGTCGGGTGGAAATTAGTAACTGACCCGCCATTTTAATTTCTGGCAAAATTTTGATGATCTCTTTGTAGCGACCAGAAAATTTACAATCCTCAATGTTGATGTCGTGATTTGTCGGAGAGAGACTTTGGTCCAGGGGATCAAAACAATTCAATTGTGTCAAATACGAGTGCAGGATACGGTCCAACTTTTCCCTTATTTGAAGTGTTCCATCTATTGGACATATTGAGTACAACAAAAATTCATTTATTAATATGGTTTTAATCTAAAATTTATATGTACCCTAACAAATTATCGATTCATAAATTGATCGACAATAAAGATATAATAAGACTCATTTCTTTCAACTTGTTATAGGTTAAAAAATATATTGCGCTTTTCTTACTTTTCTTGGGGAAAGGCTCCAAATTATTGTTCTCCAAAAAGAGAACAACTTTAAGGCATTGGTATTCGTCAATGGTTATGTTGGTGTTGGCGAATCGAGAAATAATTGTTGACAATAAATTTATTAGCTCCTTAGCTTCTTTATAAAATTTCTCATTCTTCGATTCGCGGTCCTTGCTTTCGTAGTGGCTTTTCAAGTTATCTAAATAAACCTAATGCAATTAAATATATCCTTTATTATTGTAAAGCATTTATAAAAATAGTTTCTTTTTAACAAAAATCACCTTTGAAAAATATTTATGTAAAGTAAAAAGGCCTCACTCTCAAAGAATATTGGAGTGGAACGGCTCGCTCTAACCCCCAAGTTAGCTCATTATAACCATTAAGGCGGGTTTGGGGTGAAGCCGTAATCTTGAGTAACAGAATGAGGTGCCAACGAGCAGTCAACAATTGGGTTAAAGTGTCAAGGGGTAGTTGACCGTAGAAAGGCAGCTCCTTGACCCACTGGACCATCTCATGTATTGCCCTATCACTCAATTGACACAAGTACCAAGAGGGAGACGCAGGTGTGGGAGTGAAAGAAGATGGAGGTGGCGTGGGAGGCGTCGAGTATTTCAGATTTAGCATAGGTATAAGGTTATTATTCTTACCATCCTTAAAATTGTTGTTAAAGAGCATTGACGTAGCAGTGTTAGTCCATGCCGGACTCCTGTTACAAAAATGTATTTTTAATGTCAAAAATTTGATTAGATCGTTTTTTAATGGAATTGATACTAGCATGAGTACTAATTAGAGATAAATCTAAAAGGAAGTTTTCAGGATACATAAATATACCTTTGCATCGCTTCCGTCGCTTCTAACCCGTTACTAAGATATTGTGGACTGTTCGCTACAAAAAATTGTTTCTCGCTATCGTAGAAACTGAGCGGTAATTGAGATGTAAAGCTAAATTCAGGAAACGGGATGAGAGCTGATTTTGTTTGGTAGTAAGGGTGTTGTGGAAGTCTCTGCTGATTTTCTCTTTGAGAATTGCTGTCTTGCATGTTTGGTGAAGTTTTGAAGCTCTCCTACATTGTGAAAATATTATTTTTTTAATGATGTAAAGCAAGCCTCAGAACAAAATTTTTTATATTTAAAACTGGGTAAAGAGAGTGTTTGAAATAAAGATATTAAAAAACTGTTTGAAATAATGAAATTAACAGCTTATTTGAATTGTTATACTCTATTAATGACGAAAAAAATTACCCCGTTTAATTCCCCAATTTGGTTGAGTGGATTTTGATTTGGGATAGAGTTAGTTATCTTGCCTTTGTTCCTTTTGTATTTCTTATATTTTACCTTTAAAATTTTTGATAAAAAAATATAAGTAAAAGGAAGGGTCTTTTGTATTTTTTGAAATAGTTATTTATTAGAAAATTTACTTTGTATAAATTATATACCGCTCCTGAATTTCTTCCTCCGGGCATTCGATCCTCGCGAACGGCTTTAAAAATATTTATGAGTAAATTCTATATTAATAAAAATAATCATTATTAAAGGATTTTATAAATTCATTTTAAGCTAAATAATAATAATTTTGTTAACATTTCTACCGTGTAAAAATGTTAATTATATATTTTTGGACCAAAACTTAGGCCTTATCCAGAATTTTTTTGGACAGAGGGCCGACACAGGAATAGGCTTAAAATTCTTGCGTATTTTGATCAGGAATCCCATATATAGATCGAATTCGACCCGAAATTCCATACTTTATTCACTTTTCATCATTTTTGGTGAGTGAATAAGCAGATTATAATAATAATTAGACCATTAATAAAAACATGCAATATATCATTGAAAAATAAAAATCACTGGTAAATGACTAAATGAGGTAATAATAAATATAATTTATATGACATTAATGAAAATTTATGTAATATTAATAATAATTTATGTAATATTAATGATAATTTATGTAATATTAATGGTAATTTAAGCTAAAACACAAATCGACATTGGGGGGGGGGGCGTATAAACCTACGTCCATATCCAAACTATTTCCTATTTTACTTATGGAACCTTAAAAATTTATTGATTATTAAGCTCAAATGTATAAAATTATTTTTAAATATTTATATTTATGTCTGAGTGAAAAAATTTACATAATTACAGAGCATTTGTTAGAAATACTAAGGAAATAAATTTTAAAAATATTCAGCCTTGGGTTTGGACAGCCCCGTGCAAAAATCTTCTACTAGAGCAAGTTTGATTTGTTAAGGTAGAGGATGAATGGCACTCTAATTGTCAACACAATCAAATTTAAGTTCTCAAACTAAAAAAAAAATTTTTTAAAAGATACAAGGATAAAAAAACAGAAATATCATAAAATAAATATATATTTTTTTATATTTAAAAAATGAGGCATAGGCCAATGACCTATGCGTTATAATATATTATTTATATTATTTTATTTTTTAATACTAAAATATTATTTTATTATTACTTTCTCTCCCGATCCTGATTATAATTTTATCATTTTTTTTATATATATGGTAAATTAAATTGTATTATTTATTTATTTATTTTTATAAAAAATATCGATAAAAATAAAATTCATCACACAAAACGACATAATTGATAAATATGTGGTATAAAAAAAATTAACTCCTTGCTCCAAGGTCTTTAAAATTTTTCTGCTTCAACCACTCCACGATTCATAAAATTATGAGGGCGAAGGGTTTACCATTACCATTATACAAGTGGCTAGCTCCATGAAATTAATGAATTTCCTCTGCGGGAAATTTATATTTTTTATTTCTCCATGTAAAAAAAAGCATAATATACACATTTGATTTTATTAATCTCAGAGCAACAGTATCTTTTAAACCCGGTGATCAAAAAATTAACACATCATGTATTATATTACAAGTATTAAATGTTTACATGAAAAAAGTATAGAATCTTTCTCTTTATTTGTAGAAAAATTTGTATCTAATTTAATTTAGCTAGAGAGGTATTAAGATAAGAGCAGGACTGGGTAGGTATACTAATTTGTACCATATTTTTAAATGTACATTTCCAATGATTAGTTACTTTTTGACAAATATAAATTATATTTCCAAAGAATAATTTGTGGTTTAGATACTTTTTTGACAACTACAAATTAGGTAATTATTTTTATTATTTGTGCGAATCATTCTTTATATACATAAAAACAATTCTTTTTCTGCGTAAGTTTCATTTAGTTAATTTTTATTTAATTTACAGAGCACGTTAGATATTTTTCAGGGTTGATAAATCTGGCAATTATTGGTCAAATACCCCAGGCTGATTTTTAAAAATGCTTTACTTTATATTAACGCAATATAAGCCCTGAAAATTCAATTTTATAAGTCAAAATTTTATTTATTTTTCTTCAATCTTTTTGTCTTAGTTTGATAGCGATTTTTTATGTTATTAGGATTGAAGATATTCTTTATCTAAAATATTTTATACACTTTTATAACTAAGTTCAGAGTAAAACCCGCTGAATTAATAATTTGAAAGTAAAGGATTGGCAGATAGCACCAGGGTCAAAGATGCTGCCGATTCGTCATTTTAACAAAATCATCGCAAGCATGCTTTCGATTAAAAGAGTATGATAATGTGGGGAAAAATTAAACAACACTAAAATTTTGCTTGCAACAACAGTACTATCATTACTATGTGAAAATACATTCAAGAAAATAAATTAGATATTCAAGTTGACCATCTTAATATACTTATGCATATAATCATCGATTTGGATATGCTGCACCAATTTTTTGTTTATAATAAAATGTTTTTATCAGCACAAGTGGTATTGCCTATTTAACTACACGATATTGACGCCCAGATCCAATTAATACAATTATGACAATGTTAATTATTATCATTAAAAATATATATAAGAAAATTGTCAGACCAATCTGGACTTTTTTTGAAAAAAATAAATTCGAATCTGATTCGTATCTCTTCTGATTGAGGACAAGGGATTTTTTTTAAGGATGTGGAAAATTATAAGCGCTAGAAAATATAAAAAATTAGTGATTCTCTGAAAGAAATAAAAGCACAAGGAAAATATTAAAAATTTAGAGGTTTGAATAAAATTTTAAAATCAAAATCCAGTCAGATTGAATCCGAGAAAATGTCCGTTTGGATCTGAGCACCTAAGATAAAATTTTTATAAAAAATCTTTAGCTATATCATTTTTAAGAACCTGTCTAACATTAATTTCACTTTTAATGTTTACAGAAATTAAAGCGTTTTCATTTTGCTTGTCAAACAATTTATTTTAGACGCGTCACCAGGAGATGGGATCCTATTGGAAATTTACCTGTTTTAGTAAATATCTTTTAAACTAATAAAAAAATTCCCCTCACACCCGCCCCCCTTTCTCTTCAAAAATATAAGTGATAGTTAATATTTTTAAAATAATGAGTCTAGTATAATTTAAGATTTTAAGAAAAAGGGCAGAAAACCCAAAATTCTTTAGCCAAAACTCTAAATAAAAACATACCAAATTAAACAGAGAGGCATTTTATAGAAAAATACAATGTTAAATACTTTTGCTAAATTTGTAAACAGTATTAAGCTTATGGATAATTGGATTTAAAAAATACATGTCAGGGGATTCTCTCTTCATAGCAGATTTGCCAATTTTTGTACTATCATTTTAAAGTAATAAAAATCACCCCCATTCAACACACTTCTCCCTACGAAAATACAATGTTAATAATTTTTTAAATAATGACTATAATGAAGAAAAAACGGTATATTTTTTTAAAATCTATTTTGAAACTGCCAAATATTGAAAATGAGATAAGCTAACGAGATTTGAGATAGATTTGGCTAGCCTCAAGGAGACGTAATACTTATTAGTTTACTCTTATACCAGAACGAGCAGGGGTCATTACATTCGATTTAGAAAATTTTAGGCTACTCATAATTCATGCAGGACCAAGAGATGTGTACAATCATTTTTATATTGCTGATTTATTATATAGAAATTATTATTTATTTTTAGTAAAATATGATAAAATTCATTATTTTATAATTTGTTATCAATAACATTTTGCTTTCTCATTTTCTAAGCTCATTTATTATCGTGAATGCATAAAAAAATATTATATTAAAATGAGGTCAAACATAATGTAAAAAAATTTTTTTTAAATAATCTATCATAGGAATAGAAGTATCAAATAAAATTATGCTAGTAATAATCTTATTGCAAAGTATTATAAAATAGAAACCTGACGAGCTTTGGAAAAACAGGAAATAGCTCTATAAAATGAATTATTAATCTCGTTTCATCTATAAATCTCTTTTTTTAAAAAAATTGCCAAAAGTTTGGAATTTAATACTTAAAACAAGATTTATTTTTTTTTGAACAACTATTTTGGATCCATTCTACCTTTAAGGGGTTGCAGTATTATTTTTTATGAGAATTATAGGGGATTCTAGGATAAATAAATTTTTTCTGTGCTTTTATAAAAAAAAAAGACTTGTAAAGAAAATAGGAAAACATTTTAAAATAAAATAGTTCCGGTATGTACAAAAATACTTTGCATGGTAATTAGATCGTTATTTTTTCAATAAAAGGAAATAAATCTGTCAAAATTTGAGAAATGAAGGATTTCCACTTAGAATGCACTTTGTCATTTCAAATCCTTTAAGAGAAAAAGAAATTCTGTCAAAATTTGGGGGCTTATGGACCATTTCTACTTCGAAAACACTTGCCGCTACAAATAATTTAATTATCCAAACCATTTTTTGAAAAATTATAAATCATTCATTTCATATATTTATTTTCCTCCCAATCTGAAAAAAAGACAGTAAAATTTAATATTAATAATTCATGTTAAAAAATATATGCGAAAATAAAGAAGAAAAATGTTATACGAAAAAAAGGAGGTGAAGGACGGTCGTTCATTGACCTTCGCCGCGTCTCATACAAATTTATAACGTGTAAATAAATTACATAAACATAATACATTAATTATTTATAATAATATCATATGCATATACAAAAATTCTTTTTAATTTTCATATATTTTATTTTATTCATATCTTTTTTATTTTTTATTTTGTTTAATCTATCTTTCCTTTTTTATTTTGTTTAATCTATCTTTCCTTTTTTTACATTTTTATCTTTTTATTCTCTTATTTTTTGCTTGCTGGGATTAGAAATTGAAAAAATTAGCAGAATTGGGATTTAATGCAAATTTTAATAGTTTTTTAGAGGTAAAAATATATGAACAAAAAAAACCTGCCTGATTTGACTAAATTCAAAAAATCATAATGGCGTTTCGAA